AAACAATTGGAAGCGCTTGCTCACATGCGCTGGTCCTGCGCAGCTTTGTAGCCTGACCGGCGAACGGTGTGGGCATGAAGCCATGCTCCCTAGCTCTGCAAAGAGCACGCAGCTTGTGGCATGGGTAGGACGGCACCACTGAAAACCCAACGCCGCGGAGTTCCCGCGGCTTGACTGCATTCAGACCCAACTTCTTCTTTTCTTAGTGGGACAGCTAATGAGCCATCAAATTAGAAAAAGGTCGGGCGAAGCGACGCAAGCTTGAACGCACGTGTTGCTGGATGTGGGCCAGCCCTGGGCCAGACTTTTGGCAAACTTTGCTGCCAACTTGTTTCAGGAATTCTTTAGTTAAACAGCTTTGGGTGCGGCCATGCAACTTTAACGGCATGGACCAAGGAAGTTGATGTTTGCCGGCCGGCAGAGATATCCCAAACTTTGTTTATTGGTGTCGCCCCTTGCCAGCCCCTCAGCGAAGAATGCAGCTGGCCTTGCGGACCCCTAAGTCTCCCTCCTTGCGCTGTAGCTGATCCGAGAACGTGCGTTGCGCTTCAGAAGCCTTTTCACCAACCAACAATCACGCACAAGGCTTGGCACTGTGGATGGAGCATGGGCCTATAGGTTAGTGGCGTTTTCACTGAGCACTGACGTCACACACTGCAGTTCACCTTGCTAGGAGGCCTCATATTTTCGTGACACCAGGCACTTCGAGCGCTGTGCGACTGGCATACGATTGTGTTGCGTGTGCTTCCGGTCACTTCACAACCGCTGGCCTGAGAGTTGGGGGCTTAGCGGAGCTTCCATACAGAACGCAACAAAACAAATCACCATCAAAACAGGTGGCCACCTCCCAGGGCTCAGCCTGTTTGCGAGGTTCTCTCTGCATTTGATAGGCTTGCCGGGACGCGTGCCGCTCAAACTTGGACGACTTCGTCGCTGCCGGAGCTAGATAGTCAATACTCGCCTCCAGGTCGTTCTTCCGACGACTGCATGCCTTCTTGGGAAATCTGTCGCCACTCGTGTCAAGGAATCCACAAACGAGAAACGTTCCGGTGCCACAACAACGGCTTGCTCTTCAGCGCCCGCCCCTCTCCCAAAAGCTTAAAAGGCGGCCGCATCGCAATGTGCATGTGGCATGGTGGCCAATCGGGGCACGGCCACGCCCAGAAAAAGACAAGCACAAGTTTTCAAGCACAAGGCTTGGAACTGTGAATGGAGCATGGACTTCTCTCGGCGGCCCGTGGGATCGCGCAAAACCGGGTGGGTTTCCTGGGCAATTTGGGGCAGTTTTGTTCTTCGGTTGTCACGCGCCTCTCAGTACATTCGCGTTCTCGAGCTGTTTTGTTGCTGCCGGAAACTGCCTGAAGTCCAAACCCGTTCTGGCGTCCCCCGTGCAGAACTCAGTGACTAGCCTACCAGGCGGCCATGTCCACAAAAGTGACAACGGGCCCTTGCCGGCCCTTGCCGCAGCCAGACCCCCAAAAAGGACTTGGACTCCAATCTGCGGCGCGTAGATATGATCTTTTGACCCTGTGCGTGGTGAGTCTGTGTGTCTCTCGAAATAGCAGCTCCAGCACTCCTTCGCGAGTGACATGGGCGTAGAGTAAAAAGACAACTGCACAGCGAGCTTGTAGCGGCCTCGACACAAGCAGTCTCTGTCTCAAAACTGCCTGCTGCGGGTGTTTATTCCTGCGCTCGTGGCTTCCTGCTGCACAACGCTCCCAAAGGGTGAGGCAGTCGGGGCAGTGGGAAACTCGCATTGTATCTAGCAATTGTTTGTTTGTTTCGTGAGACCAAGAGGAACTTTCAGCTGAGGCCCTGTGATCACTCAAGTATTCGACACCAGCTACCGCGGGCGTACTCGAACGGATACGCACGTTGCGAGTTCTTGCGCACACGCGTGCCCGTTTGGCCACGCCTATGTTGTTGGATGAGACGCCAAGCTGCTCCTTGAAAAGGCGGTTGCGGTCAAAGTTGCCACGAGGACAGCGCAGGCAAAACAGGGGCCTAAATCCCAAAATACTCACGCACAAGGTTTGGCACTGTCGATATGTGCGGTCTATACCTTAGCAATCACGTGTCAAACAGGATGAATTTGAAATCCTTCTTGCTTCGTCTCTTCCACTCTTCACGCGGTCTTGAGGTGGATACTGCTCGCTATGCGACGGGCCTGCACGGCGCTGCAGCGTGACTAAGGACAACTGACGTTTAAGTGCGCTGCAACGAATAGCATCCGTGAATCGCGCAGCCCACTGCCACCCCTCACTTAACCTCTCTTGAGGTGGTCGCACACCATGGATTAAGAATCAAGAATCAATGTCCACATGTGCGGTCGATCTCATCGGTGCGGCTAGGGCGGCCAGCTGCCCGGCTCGCCTTCAGAAAGGCGCCTCGTGCAGCCAGCCTTCGCCGCCTTCGCATCGCGAGGCCGCCGAGTTTGGACTTCAGACGCATTCGAGTCGAACTCCAAAGCGCTCGCAACTTAAAAATGCGGGTATGTTTCAAAGTAAACCCACCAGACGGCAGGTTTTAGTCTTTGGTTCCATTTGTCAGGGTTCCATTTTGGGTACGCGCTTTTGACCCACAGCCATGTGGCGTTCTTTCGGAGAGAAAAGAGGGATGCGACCAAGTGGGGTATGGATAAGACCTTCACAAAAGCCGCTACCAATACCCCCCAGGAAGCGTCTGTCCAAATTGGGTCCTTGATATTGGGAGAAGAGATGTAGCAATGTAGCTGTAGCAGCGGCTGCGGCGGATCCGCAAAATTCGGATGCCAGAGGCGGCATGCCCGAAGAAATTGGTATTCTGCTGGCTCGCAATTGTTTATTGATCGATATGTTTGCATCTGAGCATCATGATTTGTCAGTTACGCGTAGCCCCATGGCCAGCATGGTCACGCAGTTTGAATCTGCGCTGCTTGTAGCAGTCCCCTACTAGGGTTGACCCTTGCCTGCAACAGGTCAATCGGTCACGCATCCCCAAAGTCTGCACACTGAATGCGTCTTACATGATCCTTCGACGGCTGACAGTCGGTCTTGTCCCTTCAGAGAGACCACCAGTTTAACAATCATGACCAAACGCAAACCGCTGGGGATTCAATCAGATTTGGCACCGAGCTATAAGAAGCTTTCTGAGGCCGAGGTGCATAGTCACCTGCTGCGTGGGTGAAATCTGGGATCGCATGTTTTACACCGTAAATGTCCTAACCTGCACTTCAGCCTTGCTTCTTCGCACAAGAGGTCTGATCTGCGTGCCCAAGTGTTCTGCAATCCTTGGCACAATGAAACCGAGTTCCGAACTGCCCTCATGATTGAATGTGCGCATGTCAACCCATTCGTTCACTGTGGAACAATCCAACTCTCTGTCGTTGCCTCACGTTCCTGGCTGTGTACGACCTGTTGCTCTGAGTCTTGCACAACCCTTTGTTTCATCGAAGGTGTCAGCTCAATCGGGAAGCTACTATCATTCCTGCACACGCGTTCAGCTCTGCGGGCCGGATGGCTGCCTTCGAATCTTGGTGGTGGTTGGGTAACTTGCGGGCACTAGCCACCTCATGCGGATCCAGCTGCAACATGGCTGAACAATAGATCGAGTTTCTCTTGTGAGCCAAATCTCGGGCATCACATACAAGACATACTTCAGCACTACATAGCATGGTGGAATCTGAGACATATGGTAGAATAACACCGGCAACCCCTTGGGCCAGTTTTACTTTCGAGGGTAGCTTGGCTTTCGAAACCATGCACCTGTCACTCCCTTGCAACTTGGGATGTTTGCTTCTGAATTCTGTGCTTCCTCGGCCCAAGTGGGGCTCAACCATACCTTGCGCAAGCCAATCCATGAACCCTACAAACCCCTGGTAAACTTGTCTGTCATTCTTGATCTTGTTGCTTCACTTGATCAGAGGCTTCAGAACTTCAATGAACCCGTAGGTCCTCCAGTAGAGAGGTTGGAACAAGGGTACAAGTTTTTCCGTAGTCTATTTTAGTAGGGGAAGCCTCCCCCAGAAAAGGGATTCAAGGGCACTACTGAAGGACGTAGCGATTTGATCAGAGCTTCAAACCCCACTTCCCCGGCTCAAGCCTCTGCAGCCCAAGGCTCTTTCGTTTCTAGTGCGCACCCCTGAGGGCGCTTTCACCCGTTTGCCCCGTTTGGCCAAAGGCGCATTCCTCTCAATTGCCCAAAACACCTGGAACGACAGATTAATGCAGACCCAGGAGTAGTAAACCTGTCCCATTGTTAGGGGGGTGTTCCCTCCAAAAGTGATGAATCCCCACTAAAAGGGGACACCCCCCTATTACTCAACCAGGGGTTCATTAATCCGGGGTTAAAATTACTTTTCCATGGTTGCCCCAACTGAGCAAAAGGTCGTTAGACCTTTTGCTCATGGAAACACAATTTGATTCCCAAAGGAAGGAGCGAATCTTTGTCAAAAGACCCAATCGCCATGTGACAGGAGTCACATTCCTAACGATTGGTTGCCAGCATACTGTGGATGGACGAAATCCTGCACCACCTCAGAACCCCTAGAATGACGATTCCCCCTGTAAATACCAACAAACAATGGGTTTAACCATGATTTCAAATGGTGCGAAATGGATTCTGTCCATGCACAGTAGGGAAACCAACAGTTGGTTGTTCTGGTCTCTCTTGACCCTTGCTCTCTCTTGACCCTTGCTCTCTCTTGGCGTCACGTAGGCGAGAGCCGGGGGGGTCCAACAAGGCAAACCCTTCCGTTCCTGTTTTTTGCACCAGATGGTCGAACGATTCTTGTCTCAAATTTAAGAGATGGTTCTTAAAACGGCTTGTGTTCTGGGCACTGCTTCTCATGCCCACGTGGGGAGGATCTCGTATCCAAAATCCGCATTGGCACATCACAGCAAGAGAAACCACTACCATATGGCATACGGATGACGGATTCTTTTTTCAACCCAGTCTATGCAACGTACCAACATTCTCAATAAAAGAGCTCCCCATTCGACTGGACGAAACGCAACTCAACGTTAGCTCTGGCGCCAAGAGGCTCGCTGGCGTTGTGGCAGGCGCTTACGGCGGCGGTGAAAGTCACTACCTAGGCCAATGGGCAACGCTCATAAAAAAAAAGAGACCTAGGGCAAACCGCAGGTTTTAATCTGTGGTTCAAGGTGTACATTATTATGGTTAAACATACTTTGATTAAACACACTTGGCTTTGGCTCAAAATTTAAGAGCTAGGGCAAACCGCAGATTTTGGACTTTGGTTCCATTTCCATTTTGGTGCCATTTTGGTACCACGTTCTTGAGCCACAAAAAACAAGTTGCCTTCAAAGAACCCAGGAAAAACGGCTGACCCTCCCACAACAACTCCTAGGTCCTCCAGATTTGAGAGGTTCGAATTCAGTTGGTACCTGTTTTGTTTTTTGTCTATTTTAGCAGGGGAAGCCTCCCCCAAAAAAGGGGGAGAGAAGGGCACTACTGGGGGATCTAGACTCAGTTGCACAGTTTGGACCCAGCACAAAAAAAGAGAGGCTACCCTCCCACCAACTAACATGGAAGTGCAAAAGGCCCTGTAAACAAGAGGAAAGTCGTCTTTCTACAGGGGTCTGTGCACTTCCATGTTAGCTGGTGGGGGGGTAACCTACCTTTTTGGGCTACCAAAAATGGACCAACATGGGAAAACCACAAGGCCAAAAGGCCGGCCTTGGACAACTGACACTACTTAGGGATGAGGCGACCTTTCCAATAACACTCAGGTGGATCATGGTGGAAATGGCTTCTTTTTTGGCCAGTTCCTGCAATACCAAGGGAGCCCAGTGTCAATCGGGCAATGATTTGGGGTCCCATGCAACACAAACAAAAAACAGCGGGTCATACTGTAGATGGACGAAATCCTGCACCACCTCTGAACCCCTGTAAATACCAACAAACAATGGGTTCAACCATGATTTCAAAGTGGTGCGAAATGGACTTTGTCCACCCACAGCATCATGAATGTCGGGAATATCCGACTTCGGAGACCTATCAACTAGGATTTGAACCACTACTAAATCATGGGGTCATCCGGGCTGGGTATGTCCTAAACCTCTTTCACCTTTTGTGGGGACAACTATACCTCTTACCCACATGAATTGGTCGGTGCTCAGAAACCCCGTTGTCAGACTGCCTTGCTCTTGGGAGGCTTTCGGGAAATGAATAAACTCCAAACCTCTCCAGGGAAGCGACTTGCGAATGTATCAACGGCCTGTGCCTTTGTTTGTGGGCCTGTTGTGCTGCTTAAAGCCGAAGGGACTGATGGGTGGTGTCATGTTGAGTTCTCCTGGTTTGAACAGAGCGTATCATCTGCGAGTAACAGCCTGCAACCATTTAATGAAACTATGGTGTTGTTTCTTGATTTAGCTGATGAACAATCCAAAGGGGTATACCGGGTACCCTTGCAAAAGGATGTCCAGCCCTAACCAGCTTGTCACGAATTCGTTTTCACGAGCACCAATTTCTCTCAAACATCAGTTTTTTTTGGATCACCTTGGTGGCAGTCGAGGCAAAAGACTCCAGCTATGAGTCTGGTTTTACTTGAGGGTACCTATGTTGAGATGGCTTAAAGGGAAAGCACAGTCAACCATCTTTGCTAGCATGGTTCATTGCTATGACCTTGTGACCTGTCCCTTGGTATCTCTCTGAAACTGGGTCTAACTCTCCCCCCCTTTGTTGGTCCTTGATCTTTATCTCTTCTGCTTGGGGCCGCCAACAACTCCGACCACCCCTCCCCCCCTTCAGAACTTCATGTGAGTCACAATCAAAACCTGGTACAAAAATGGTCGACCCAGAACCATGTAAAGAACCAAGAAGGCGGCCGCAGCTATTTGTGGCTGGGATCGTCCCTTGCTACCCTTCACTTCCCCGAATCGGTTTTGCTTGTGGCTCATGTGCCCAGGCATTCCGTATCCGTGCGGCGTTGGGATCCAGCGCCCTGTGTGGCATTCTGGTCAGCAGATGCAGCGCAGAGGTCCACAGGCTTTGCTGGGCGCAGGCACCTGGAAAATGTCTAAGACGTCCATATAGATAGGGGGGGAAAGCGGGGAAAAGATCTCGGGGGAGAAAAGGTGTACCCAAAAATCCTAAAAGCTTCAGGGGATGGCTGGGAACAAACAAGCCAAAATACGGCATCTCCAAGTAAAGGACCTACATCATAGTGAGCTCGCTTTTTGCCGGTTCCGGTTTCCCTTCAAACCAGTCTGCAAAGGGTACCGGGCCCAAACCAACACAAACCCATAAGAGGTGCTGTCACAACTCTGGTGGTTCATTTGGGAGGGAGAGTCACAACCCAAAGCAAGTGAACTTTCAAGAAATCGCCAACCAATTCCAGGGTGTCCCATGTCTCTCTGGTTCACTTGCATATTTCAGGAAGTGGGTGTGTATCACCTTCCGGGTCTGGATGTTGGTATGAACCGTTTTTGGAAATTCCCGAACGGACATTCCTTCTCGCATCGTACCGGTGTTCCTGGGGGTTTCTTCCATTTCTCCTTCCTATCGAACCAAGGCAGGGGGCCGCCCGTTACAGCGGGTTAATCCTTTGCAGTCCTAATCCTGCATCATCCAGTACCTCCCAATCACCATTTCCTGTCTGTCAAAGATGGAAATCATTGGGAGAGCTCGGTTGCTTTCTGCTCCCCTGCTAAAAGTTTAACTTGTGGTTCAATGGAAAACCCATTAGTTGGCAACAAGTTGTTCAGTCCTAACATCCCTTGGCAAGATGCACAAAAAAAAAGGTCAATAGACCTTTTGCTCATGGAAACACAATTTGTTTCCCAAAGGAAGCGGTGCAAAGACCCCATCACCATGTGACAGGAATCACATTCCTACCGAAGCATCCCTTGGCAAAATGCACGTTGGATATGGAAACCCAACCACTAAAGCAACGAAACACACCACACCACCAAAGGGAAGGTAACGAATGAACGAAGGACAGGAAGGGGAAGGTGGCGCTCATCTCTTCGCCCGGGGGGCTAATGGCGCTGCCGAAGCTCACCACGTCCGGGCTGAAGGAAGCGACCTCCATGGCATGCAGCAGTTGAAGGCCGAGGTCCTCGGTGACAAACGAGCCATTGGCTTTGGCTTGGTTGTTGTTTCCCGGAGGCTACCCCCCCTCGTTTTTTTAGGGGTTGGTATTGAAGGGAAACCAAAAGGAAAACCAAATGCCTTGTTTTTCCCAACAGCTGAAAGCTTTGGGGTCTCAGCCCAGATAGGCTCCGGGGTGGTCCGGGGCGGCCCTGAGGTAAGGTTCCACGAGGGTTCCACCAGGGTTCCACCGCATGCTGTTGGGGATATCACCTGAGCTTTTTCTTTGGGGGGGGAGGGGCGGGGTCCTATTTTGAGACAGATTTGCGTGGGGATTGAAACAAAACTCCGATGCTTCTCAAATTCTTGGCCTCGAAAACCTTGGTTTCCTTTCGGGGTGCCCGAACAAATACCAACCAAAACGGGGGGGCCTCCATCATTTTGAGAAACACCCATATGGCCTATGGTCCATGGTTCCCTTAATAAGAATCATTGTGGTCATTAAGGATCCGTTGGATGAGTACCAACTCTAAAAAAATAGGAAACTTGTATCTGGTTGGTGATTGGACACCTGCATTTTGCCCGTTTGCTCGTTGGTTGGTGAGTAAATTGCAATCTGCTCGTTTCCTCGTCCCTAAAACTCTGGCATAGGGATCCAAGCTTTCCGGTTCTCCTGCTGCTTCCTTTCATGTTGACCCCATCTTCATCAACCCGGGTTTATTCATAGGGGGGTGTTCCCCTGCACAAGTGATGATTCCCCGCTAAACCCAGAAAACCCCCGATTTTTTCAGCTGGGGTGTATATAAATCTGGGCTTCCCTGAGATCCCCCGCCAAAAGTTTGACTTCTGGTGGGTTGTCATGGAAACTACCACTAAACACTAAAAGGCTAAAAGCTTCGCCACCAAATGGGGTCAACACTAAGGGAGTCCGAATCCCGGGTTCATTCAACCCTCGGAAGCTGAGAAGATCATGGCAACTAGGTCCTCCAGTAGAGAGGTCAGAATAGGGGTACCCCTTTCTTGTCTGTAGTCTATTTTAGTTGGGGAACCCTCCCAACCAAAAAAGGGGTGATAAAGGTGTCTAGCTGGGGGACCTAGTTCCCTATCCCACCAGCCAGAAAATTTCCGCGGCATTTCTCCATCCAAGGCTCCCAGCGACTGCTGCACGCGGCAATGGCTGCGTTGTAGGTCACCGCCGTCACTTGACCTGCCTCAAGACTCCAAGCCCCCCAAAAGAGTGGGGTTTAGCATCTAGTTCTTTTAAATATAAGTATGTTGATCCAAATCAGGGGTCTATTTCAGTAGGGGGGTTCCCCTAAAAAAGAAATGGTAAAAGGGCGATATCATGCGATATCCAAATCCAAACACGAATTAAGGGCGATGTTTCTTCCCTTCTCCCTTCAAGCCACAGCCAGACCAGGCTAGCTCCACTGGCTTGAGGTTCCGGAAAACGACGAGTAAACAAAAGGGATTTGATGCCCAGCCAGGGAACAAAAGGGGCATCCTGTTTTTTTTCTTTGAGCTTCGAGGACTCGGAACGAAAGGAAGGAAGGCTCGGAATATACTGGGCAGGGAAATCGATGGGCATATTTCCAGTGATTTCCCTCTAAAACCAACAGGGGGAGTGGATCCTTGTTTTGGTTGAGAATAAAGGAATCGGGACCCTTCCGAAATCGAAGAGTTGCAAGAACTTGACCTCCACTGGACTGAGAAAAAAACACGGGAAAGAAAAATGAGGGCTGGACGTCTTTGGTTGACCATGGACTCATGGTCTCGGATTTTTTTTCGAACCGTATGCTGGTCTGTGGCACTTGGGGGTTGATCAATATTCCATTTAGGGCTCCCAGTTTTGCCATGGGTAATTCAAGGCTTAACTTTTCCCATGTGGTTGAAATATCCTTGGTTGCTGTTGACCCCCCTGCAAAAAGCTTCACTTTTTGGGGGTTTAGTGGAAAACCCTTGATTTCCCAAAAAGTTAGAGTCTAAGGATCCGTCACCCTATAGCAGTCAAGCATCCTATCTTTTCAGTCCCATATCCTTTTCTAGGTCCTCCAGTAGAGAGGTTAGAATAAGGGTAACCCTCCCAACCAAAAAAGGGGTGAGAGAAAGGGCACCAATTGCTGGGGGACCTAGCAAAAGGAAACCAGGCATTTTGGTGGTTCCCTCAGTTTGTGGCAACCGAAAAAGCACACCCGTGGCGCTGCAAGGTTACTGGGGGACCTGGCTGGGGGACCCAATTTTTAGTGGTTTCCCATGTAAAGGGAGGCGCCTTTTGGCCGTTGCCGGGCTCCCTCCAACGTCGGCTGCCGGCCGGCTGGCGCTTTCGCGCGGCAGGCGCGCGCCTCCAGCGCCTGGCCGAAGAAGTGCAGCGCCAGGTGCCACTGGCCACTGGCCTCGCAGCAGCTGATGGCTGCGTTGAAGGTCACCTGACTCGACTCGAAGAGGAAAAGGATCTAAAGAGGTAGGTGTTCCTTGTTTCTTTTCCTCTTTTTTTTGAGGGGGGGCTAAATGGCAGGATGGGTATGCTGTTGTGCTTTTGTTGTTTTTGCGGGGGGGGGGGGCTAAATGGCTAAATGGGTATGTTTTGTTTTTTTTTGCTGGCGGGGGAGGGGCTAAATGGCTTTAAATGGGTAGGGGGGGGGGGGCAGAATGGGTGAGTTTCTTGTCTTTTTTTTGGCCGAGGGGGGGGAGGACCCAGGAAAAAAAAATACCCTCCCACCAACTAACTCCGGAAACCTCTGGAAACCCAGGGAAAACGGATCCTGTTCTTGGAAAGAACGATGAACCCAGAAAGGCTACGCTCCCACCAACTAAGATGGAAGTGCAAAAAAGCCCTTTCCAAGAAAAAAGTCGTCTTGCTACAGGGGTCTATGCACTTCCATGCTAGCTGGTGGAAGGGTACATGGGTATGTGTTTTTTTTTTGGGGGGAAGGGGGGGGGGCAGAATGGGTGAGGGGGGAGGGGGACACCAGAATGGACTTTGGGTTTCCCCTTAGTTTCCCCTGGAGTCATGACCCCTCTGAAAAAAACATAATGACCGGGGTTACACAAAAGAAAGGGGTGTCAACTCATTGTTGAAGGATGTGTTTTCTTGGGATTCAGACCCAAAGTGGATTTCGTTGCTTCTATTGGTTTCTCTTTAGACCCAACCAAAAAGGGGTTCTGCCAAAAAAGGACAGAGCCAAATGGATTCTGCGTGGGGTCATGAGTCATGACCCTTTGTGAACCCCCCCCCCCCCCACAACACACTCGGGTTACACAAAAGAAACCCTTCAAGAAACCAAACACATGCTACGTCTTGGTGCCTTCAAACATGGACCCCTCAAACAGATTGATTCCTCTTTGGTTCCTCGTAGAATCAACCCCCAAAAGAAGCACACCACACAAATGGGAAAAACCTATTGGGTTTGGGTCGTCTTAGAATGTAGGAACCTGGCAAATGACGAGTTGTTCTTTGGTTTGCCTGACATGCGCAGAGAATTCATCCACACACCTCGGAAAGGGTGCCTGTCAGGTTACAAGAAGGACCCCATGGTTGGGTGACCTGTGTTACAAGATGAGTTCTACTACATGGGTCTCTTCCAGACACTTACACATCATAGATTCATTGATTGCTTGATTGATTGATTGATTGATTGATTGATTGATTGATTGATTGATTGGCTGATTGATTGATTCATTGGTCGGTCGATCGATCGATCGGTCTGTCGATTGATTGATTGAATGATTGATTGAATGATTGATCGATCGAGTGGTTGAATGATGGACGGTTGGATTGATGGATGGATGGATGGATGGATGGATGGATGGATGGATGGATGGATGGATGGATGGATGGATGGACGGATTGACTGATTGTCGATTGGTGCAAAACGGAACCTCCTTGTGACAGGATTCCGTTCTTGGAGTCCTGGCACACCAAGCATTTCAAAGTAAACCCAACGGGTTACTAACCACTAACTATTGCGGAAAATGCCGATACGTGTTTTTTTTTCAGGCAAACCAAACGACAACCGCCCACTTTCGAAGTTCCCTTGTATGCGATGTCGATTAGAGCCCTCCAGACTGAATCGCCCAACCTTGAACACGATCGCGCCGAAGGCCTAGTCTCATTGCGAACCATGCAGCTTGAGGGTGCAGGATCCAAAGTCTGCACCTTTCCCTCCAAAGTGTGTCTACTTCTTCACCTAGGTTCAAGCTCCCTCTCGTCTGTTTGGGGACGTAGATGCGCACGGCTTCAAAATGGCAGGATTGGGAGAAAAAACCACTTGGCCTGACGGGCACGTCTTTTGGATTCCCCAGTTCGGTTGCATGGCGTCCACCTTCAAGACGTGTTTCTTGAAGGTGCACCGAAGACTCACTCAGTCGGGCCGTGAGGATTCCCACGGGAGCTGAGCAAAAGCGGATGAAACTGCCTTGGCCTAGCCATCATATTCACCCTCCTCTTCATCGAACTCACCTTCCTCCTCCGCGGTGGCATCCTGATACTGCTGGTACTCAGAGACGAGATCGTTCATGTTGGACTCGGCCTCCGTGAACTCCATCTCATCCATTCCCTCTCCGGTGTACCAGTGCAGGAAAGCCTTGCGCCGGAACATGGCCGTGAAGTACTCCGCGACCCTCTTGAACATTTCCTGGATGGCGGTGGAGTTGCCAGCAAAGGAAACAGCCATCTTCAAGCCCTTCGGCGGGATGTCGCAAACCGATGCCTTGATGTTGTTCGGAATCCATTCCACAAAGTAGGACGAATTCCTCAGCGTGGGCCGACAAAGCCGTTGCGCCACACAGCTTTGAACATGGCACAACAAAGGATCATGAGCGGACGATTCAGCGCGAATGCAACCGGCCAAGGCTCTTGTTCTGGACATTCAACATTTGTTCATCGACCTCTTTTGTGGACATCCGCCCGCGGAAAAGGGCCGCCGCCGTCAAGTAGCGCCCGTGACGAGGATCTGCCGCGCACATCATGTTCTTGGCGTCAAACATTTGCTGTGTCAACTCGGGCACGGTCAGTGCACGGTACCTCAGAGGCCCGCTGACCACTGGAAAACAAGGTCACCTTTAGCTGATGGGTTTGGGGTTCAGAGTTTTTAAGTGACAGAGAGCGACAGACAGCTGCGACAGTTTGAAGCCTGCTCACCAGTGTCCTACGTTGGGGCCAGGCCAGGAAAGCCGTGACAGCCCCAAGCCTGGGGCTTTCAGTAGATCAAACTTCTTAGATGGGGATTGTTCGAAGCAAAGGAGTTTTGTTTAGTTGGTTGACTCTCGAGTGAAACCCATCCCCACAGAAATGGCCATGGTTCAAAACCAACGGTACGATTTTGGGATAGGTGAATTCACCACCCATTTTAGGCCACCTATCTTAGTGGTTGGATTGGGATGGGGTTTTGACCCATGGCCAAATGAGAAAAAAACCAACGGGGGAAACAAATTCGCGGCTCTGGGCAACCGGGGTACTGTTGCGAGCCGCGGGAGGTCAAGGGAGCAAAGCCCGTCATGAAGAAGTGCAGCCGCGGGAAGGGCACCAGATTCACCGCGATCTTCCGGAGGTCGCAATTCAGCTGTCCTGGAAGCAAAACGCGGTTTTTCAGTAGGGATTCAAATAAGCTGGTACCCGATTTGTTTTTGTCTGTAGGGGAAGCCTCCCCCCAAAAAGTTGGTAGAAGGGCACTACTGGGGGGACCTGGAAAATCCCACCTTGCTCCCCCTCACAGTCATGGGGGGTCTTTCGTGGAAGAATGATCAACCCCCTCGTAGTGAAGGATCCCTGTTTGAGGGGGTCGCCAATGTCAAAAGGTGGCAAGCAGACCCTGCTCACAGCCAGGATTTGAGAACCCCAAAGCCCTGGCAAATTTGTCCAACGGGGCTTGAACCTTTCATTGGAAGCCCCAGCAGGGCATGCTTGAACCAGAAGTAAATAAACCGCATCCTCGCGCATCCTTGTGGTGTCCATTGAAAGGGAGCCTTATTTGGCCGTGGGTCAAAACACATGCGATCCCATTTGGGGTAGGTGCACCACCCATTTGGGTGTGGCTCAAAATTAAAAAGGAGGGGTTACGCAGGTTTCGGTCCATGTTTCCACTTACCAGAGTTCCATTTTGGTAATATTTTTTTGAGCCACAGCCATTTTAGTCTATTTCAGTGGTTGGATTGGGATGTTCACTGGGGGTACGGGCGTTGGCTTTTGACCCGATTCGCCATTCTTTTCGCCACGAGCTCTGCCTGGGAAGCGCAGGCAACACGTCACCCCACTCATTGCGGCGGACACCAGGTGATTCAAATCCCCGTAGGTGGGCGTCGTCAGCTTCAGCGTGCGGAAGCAGATGTCGTACAGCGCCTGGCATCCCCGTGCTTCAAAGTCTTGGTTGACGTTGGAAGGGGAGCAACAAAAAAGAAGGAAAAGAGCAGTTAAGTGGGGATTTCCCACTAAACCACAATGACCAAAAATGTAAAATGTGTCCCAACAACAATTGTTTTGGGGCTTCCCTGTGGCTTTCAAGGGAAACCAAATTCTAGGTCCTCCAGATTTGAGAGGTTCGAATAAGTTGGTACCCATTTTTGTTCTGTAGTCTATTTTAGTAGGGGAACCCTCCCCCCTAAAAAAGGGTAAAAGGGCACTACTGGGGGACCTAGCAAAATTAAAGGAAACCGGCCATTTCGGTGGTTCTCTCAGTTTGTGGCAGCCCCAAACACATCCGTGGCTTCCGAGTTCCAAGCACCAGCCCAGCAAAAAAGGAAGCCGCAAGCCTAGCCAAACGAGGTGCCTCGTTGTCCAGCAGGAAGGACTCATCCGAGTTCTCCACGAGCTGATGAAAGCTCAGCACGGCGTTGTATGGCTCCACCACCGTGTCAGAAACCTTTGGAGAGGGAATCACCGAGAATGTCCTGAGCGACTCGGTTGCGACAACTCAACGAAACGAAGAGCTTCGTGCTGAGCCTGAATGGAATACAAACGGTTTGGAGACCAACATTCGGCAATCCAAAGAACATCTTTGAACAACTCTCACAAGAAAAAGGGCTTCCGCAATCCACCGGGCTGAAAGGGAAAAAAACAAGGGCGAGGCTGAGCGTCTCCATGATTCGGTCCGGGTATTCTTCACGAACCTTCGAGATCAGCAAGGTGCCCATCCCCGCGCCGGTGCCGCCTCCCAGGGAGTGGCAGAGCTGGAAGCCTTGAAGGCAATCGCAGCCCTCCGCCTCCTTTCCTCGGACCAAACCAAAAAACCCGCGATCCGCGCACGGCGCTTGTTTTTCCCTCAGCTGTTTTTTTGTTTGCCCCCAGTTAAAAATCAATGTGGGCTCAAGATGGAGGGATTCCTAATCCATCATCCCTGACCCAAGGATGGGCCTTTGAACGGCCCAGATTTTCGGTGGTTGGTTCTGGTCCAAACTAAGCGCACCTTCATGCGCAACATCGCTAAACGAG